TTGTTGACTGGCACTAATCCGCCGGTTTGCCGATGTTTGTGTGTCCTTTCGTAAACCGATATATGTCGCAGGTTCTATTATGAATTGTGAAAAAAAACAGCTGATTATGACGGTGTACATTGCGTACGCTTTGGGATACAAAAGTCCTTATGATTTTTGATCAATTTCTTAATCTTTTAATAACGAATAGCTCCGTAACTTCTTTTCAGGTCTAATAACAAGTTTTGGGAGAGAAATTTAAAATACCTTAAAATATAAAAACGTTTATTTGATAGCAACGAAGATTGCGATTTTAGATACACAATATTCACTAACAACGCTTACCTAAACACTGAACTTTTTGAATAAATATATTTCACGTATAACGTGATTGCTGTTGCATTCGAAAGAATAATGAGTAAGTCAAACTGTATTTGTCGCAACGACTACGTCAACGACATTTTCGAACAATATACACGCATTTGCGTGTGAGCTTTTTCAAATGGTTCCAGTTGTCGCAAAATGTCAAACTGCGTAATAAAGTACTCAAGCACTATTTTAAACTTATTGGTCTTATATTGTAATAGCAAAAAAAAATACGGATCAAAAAATGTTTTTTTAATATTAAAACGGTTTTCTAAATGTTTTGCAATGTCATGCAAATTTACAGTGCTGGATAGGCATGTAAAAGAGCTCGGATTGGGGGTATATAGACAAATAAGAGCCTGCCGGGCGGTATATTGACTTATAAAAGACTGGGCCGTATATAGACGTATAAGAAAACCAAGCCGAGCCTAGTGGGCCTCGGCTTGGTTTTCTTATAAGTCTAGCGACACACAAAATGTGAAGGTTATAAAAAATTAAATTCAAGCACTATAAAAGATGGATTAGAGATCAAAAGAGGGTTAAGACTGGTTAATGTTTGTTTAACGTTAAGTTTTTAATTAGCAGTATATGCCTGCAAGGGCATCCGTTGGTCAAATGGTATAGTTAATGTAATGTATTTTATTGAGAAGTCTAAAGTACAAATTTTTTACAACCAGTAATTAGTTCAGTCAACGTCGATAGCTTAGTAAACTTTTAATTTTTTGAGAAATTTTATTATAAAAAAGAATTTTTGAGGAGTTTTGATAAGGATTTAAAAGTCGCTTGTTATAAAGTTTATTATAGAGGGGTTCGTTATAAAGAAGTTTTAAATGTCTTGTGTAGTGGAAGACGTTGATCTAAAATTTGTTTATTACATATTTAGCTTGTTATAGAGGCGTTCGGTATAAAGAAATTGTTTATAGAAGAGTTTGTAATACGATTTTTTATAATGCAGTTGTACAGTGTTAAACCATGCCATTGTATACCGTGCCATTTCATAACGTCTCCTTTTTATAACCAAAGTTTAACCCTTGTGATCTGTGTCATTTGTTTTCTACATTACCACAATACCCCGCGTTTCCGGTATGATGCCATATGACCGCCATACTGTTGATACATAGATCCATCGGCAGACAGGCGGTATTTCGTCTTACTTCGTTGTTATTGTAACGTCAGCTTGATATAAAAACGTTTCCAAAAAGTAGCATTCGCTTAACACGCGACGACGTAATGACTTGGTTAATTGTCGCGGTTTAGAGTAATTATTTATGTGGTATTTTATGAATATTGTCGATTAGTACGAAATTTCCAAGTGCATTGGTGAGACATCAGTGAAATGATAAACAATTAGGCGATATTTAGTCATAATATAAGTTTGTATTATGTAGTTATGCTATGACAATAAAAGTAGTTATAATATGATATGCTTTGGTCATAGTGTGCTACACTGATACTAATGACTCAACATGGTTTCATAGGTATTATTTATACATAATATATAACATTTGACACTTAAATACAATTTTATTAAAAAAATAAAACATCTGTATCTAAGAATGACAAAAATGAACAAACACAAGAAAAAGCTATATAGTACGAGACATTTGTAAGTACCGTAATTTACAAAAAACACAATACGTGTACAATACATTTCAATAATAACTGTGCACGTCGCAAAACGTCAGTCATACGATACTCTTGGTGTTTATCATAAAGTACGTAGATGGAAGTTTGTACCCGTAAAACGTACAAAACTCTTAGTGAACAGACTAGGCTTGTAATGACTAGTTGAACACAGTCGTGACGTTCTTGCTAAAAAGTGTTTGTGACTAAAGGTGCTTATTAAGGTTTATGACTTACACATCTATGTTTATTTTTATAAAATACAACGTATTTGCTTGGTTTAAAATTAGAATAAAGTTTTGGTAACGTGCGTCATGTTAACTAAAAACACAGGACTTCTGTAAAGCAAATTGCTTTGGGTGTTTTAAATTTGTTTATTGTAAAGAAGTATCGTTATACAGATGTTTCGAATGCATTGTATTGTTAGTCAAATATTTGAAAGCTGTTCGTTATACGAATTTTACGTTATGGGAAAGTTTTTATAAAAGCGTTTGTTACACAAGAGTTTTCTACTGCATCCCAAAAGCTTAGGCTAGCATACGTACTGCTAACGAATTCTACTAGCTATTTTAGAACAGTTGCTTAAAGATGTATTATCTACAACTGCCGTATACGTTCTGATGACGTTGAAATGTTAGTTTTTTGCCAGTGCGTTTTGCTATAGAGGATTTTGCTCAGCTTATTTGATACACAAAAAGAATGGGTCAAGAATGGCGTTTTTGTCATATATACTACATTATTACTGTAGTTTCCTGCTATAAGCAACTCTGTTTTTCTTTGACCAAGCATCTTACTAAGGCTTTTTCAAGAACGATCGAACAAAAAATTGTTGACAAACTATAATTTGTGTTCTTTTACAAAGATTAATATGTAATGCACTTTTTCGTAAAGTTTAAGACGTGCAATGAAGTGCTTTCTCAAATATCAAACATATTTATCGGATTTGCCACACCGGTACATAGACATAAACATTTACGAAATTGAACACAAGTTTAATTTGTAAAGTCAATGTAAACAAAAGATATTGTTGTAAACAGTTTTTTTGCTGTCAACAGTTTTTGAATGCCAAGCTCGTGAGATTTGTCTTTCAAAATGTTTAATTTTATTATGATTTAGGTGGTCAATCTTTAGACTACAAAAATGCTGATTGGACAATATGCATCGGGTCCTTACTGCTCCACGACAATGCGCGTCTTCTTTGCGCAGGCCACCGCTCTGAAGCTAAATGAGTTGGGTTACAAGACTCTGTCGCGTCCGCCGTACTCTTCTGACTTGCCTCCAACTTATTCTATTCGAACATATGGATCATCGTCTACATAAGAAGCGTTTCAGAAACCAAGGCCATCATCAAGTGGTGGATTGTTTTGTCAGCTTCAGAAGTAAAAACATTTACAACTTGTATTATAAAAGTTAATATTATATTATACAGAGATTTTATTTTTTTTGCAATTTTTAATGTGATCTGCCTTCTGTCATAAGGAAAAAACGTACGTAAAATTCCAAATAATAGTTTTCTTTTCACTGTAAACATGCTTTAATTCATGTTTACAGTAACTTATAACTGTTTTTGTTTTTTATGCTGAAACAAGAAAAGTTGTACAATTAGCTGTAATTATGATTTTTTACACTATTGGACAAGGAGAAAATAAGAAAAAGCAGTTGTAATTCATGGTATAGTTAATTGTGAAACAAAAACTGTCAAAAACAGGCCGCATCATGTTTTAAGAAAACTAAAGTATAAAATTAAGAAGGGCAGACTTAAAAACAAAATTATAATATAAATATAGTAAAACGCCTATATAAAAAACTTCATGGAGATTTAAAAATTTCTTACAATGAAGGAGTTATGGCAATGTCTCAACCATACCATATTCAAACCTAACCAAAGTTCTATTCTAGTGTTATTTAATCCTACACCTTTTCTTTTAATCATCTTCCGTCTAAGCCTATTGCTTTACAGAAAACTGCTTAGATATACTACAACTACAAACACGAAGAAAAAAATCAAAGTACCACTACACCTGCTATATAAATAAATGTTGCAATACGTTTTATAAAAATTGCTAAGAGACATGCCCGATTACTTTATAAACAATATAATGTTAGTGTAAAAGATTGGACCAAAACTTTATGACAAGACGACATACTTAGTCGTTGTTAACACATTTTGCACTTTGTTAATCACAACAATTACATATATCGTGTGGGATGCGTACGAGGTTAGTGCATGGCTCAAAGAAATTTATTCAAGGTGTTCGAGATGCCATAATATATTTAAATACCGTTGTCTTTACGAAACGATACCTAAATACCTGTGTTTCCTCAAAAGAAGTCGTGTAAGTACTGGTTGGTTCAAAAAACTCGTCCTAGAGACTAATTGCCGGTATTGCGGATAATTGCCCGTGTCCTGAAACAGTCCGGTCGTCGTGCCGACTACAATATAATTCGCTTTGTACTTTTTCTCGCGACGCCGTTCAATGAACCCGTTCGTGGCCCAAAAGCGGATTAAGCTGCCGCAGGGAAAAAACGGCAAAACCAACGTGGCCCCGCCCCTTATGCCCTCGTCTTCAGGCGGTTTTGGGCCGTTTTTGGACACTGAAAGTGGGAGGCCTTTTTCTACGAGATATTCGCCGCTGGCCGTTAGCATTCAGTGTGATCCGGATTTGAAACGTGTGCGTATTATATATTTTTGTCACGACACAAATTGATTTGAGCTTTGTTGTAGTTTTAAACTTTGGTTTTTCTACAGGCTGTTAAGGTTTGGATAAGTTATTCTTTTACTATCAGTTAACGTTCTACACTGCACTACGGAACCTAAATATTTAGTCAATTTTTTACAAAGACTATCCGTATCAGTTAAAACCATTCTACGACAAGCAGCTGAACATTGACGTCTTTCATATAGTTTACTACACCTGAACTAGAACGTTCTAAAAGTGGTACAACTTTGAGTTTTGCCTTACTTTTCTACTCGTCAAGAGTCGCTACCTTTCAAAACACTGCAAGTGTTTTGTCAGCTTTTGATTGTCAGTATGTATCAGCTACCAATCTTCCTAACTGCTCAACAAAGGATATTCAAATGCAGGTAACGGCTTGATTTTTCTTAAAATTTTTTATTTTTTAAATATTTTAAATTTGAAATTTGTTTTTTATAATAGGTTTTTGTTATACAAAGTTTTGTAACGCACTGCGTATTGTTAGCTAAGGCTTTAAAAGTCGTTTGTTGAACAGCAAGCGGAGCCCTAGCTTAACTCTAGCCTCATCTTAGCCATACATTAGCCCAATAGCGCTATAATATTTTTGACTGTAATCATTCAGATCTACTACAACATTTTTTAACACATTTTAAAATTTTAACAACGTTTTAAATACATAAATCACCCAAAGCAGACCGAAGACTTTGAACAAAATCTTTTTTCGAATTTCAAAAAACTGTAACTATTTCGAACTGTTTTCCGCAATACGTGTATCGTTCTACCTCACACTTGTTTTGACAAATAGAAGCCGCGTTAGAGTTCCGCTTTAATCATCTGGGAACAAGTCTGGGAAAATTGTGTTTTTGAAACATATTTTTGACACGTGATACATAGGTGGTACGTAGGTTACACCTAATTAGGTGCTATTTTAAGGTGTTGTGTTTCTTTCCGTTTTTTTTTCACTACCGTACACGACAACATTTTGGTTCATGCAAAGGGCAAAACGTACATTTTTAAAGTTTTTTAAGTGTTATACTACAAATTTTTAACTTTAATCACTTTTACCCTCATGCTCTGGAACGTCTCCAATTCTTTGTACTCTACAGTTTTTTTAAAGAAACAATTATAAGGATAAATAAAAAAAGCCTGTGGAATTAAGCACAAAAGCTAAAGTGCGTTTGACAATTTGCCTAACAAGTTAATTAGTGATTGAAAATGAGATTTGTGTTCATTAGAATGCCGTCTTCAGCCCGGTTCCGGGTATAATGCACCAATCCAACGGTGTTTTCGTTGTGTTTTATGTAATGTAGGTAAAAATAAAGCCATAGCTAGCTAAAAAGAAGTACTATGGTTAGTAATGGAAGAGCTATGGCTAGTAAAAGAAGTGCTACGGCTAGTAAAACAAAGGCTGTGGCTAATAGACGAAGAGCTACGGCAAGTAAAGGGCTAGGTTAGCGCTTTTTAACTGAAATGTGTATTGTGTTATCTAGGGTTCAAAGTTGTTTGCTCTACAAGAACTTTAACTTTTTGAATCATTCAACTCATATTGTACTCTTTCATATACGACGTAAAAACTGATCCATGATTCCAAAACAATGTTCGTTCCGTATTCCGCAACGTCAATGTTTAAAGCCTGTAATTTGTGACCGAAATGATGTTTCGACACGAAAGTGCATAACATTATGAATGATGTCTAATCAATGTTTCTTTTCAAGTTTTAAATAGTCTACGGTTTACGCCGGACCATTCAATTTCTATTTACGGGTAAACGTACGATGCAAACGTACCTTGATTTATGTAACATTGTGAACGTTGCTTTTTGTCAAAAAAATAAAAAGTTTTAAATACGGTCATTTTGCTGAAAGAGTATTAGGTTGTTGAAACAATTCTTTATAATGAACTTTTTTATAACAAACTCCTGTATAACGAACTCCTGTATAAAGAACTCCTGTATAACGAACTCCGTTCCAACTAACAAATTTTAAATTTGTCACCAAATTATTTCCTTTTCAGGTCCATATCATCAAAACAACTAGTTGCCCTATTGCTAACGACAATACTATTAACGCAGTGCACAGTGACAGCAGAGGCATCGATTAGGTTATGCGGCAACAAACTAACATCAGCGTTACAGACGATTTGTAAAAATAAAATATGTGGAGGAATCACAAAACGTAAGTTTGAACTTTTCTGACTATAAAAATTTAAAAACTTGTACAAAGGACTGATACAAACAATCCTAGGAAAAATATACGTTGCGCTGTTCCGCATACAAAACGTAATGTAGGTCGCAACGTTTTGTCGTACCAATATTTTGTTTTGTTTTTTCGTCTTATAATGGGATTAAATCTTGTTTAGTCAACATGTTTTCCAGGTTTTTGCCGTCAGATAACACAAAAATATACCCTGAAATTGCAACTTTTATTTTTCTGACGTGCGTTTTAAGACACAAGCCTTTTTTACACTACTGTAAAAACGTTAATTTTTTTAAATGATTTTTTCCAAACATTGGTGTAGAGTAGGGTAGGATAGGAGTACTTATCTACAACTACAGCTACACCTAACTCTACGCCTCAAAACTCTGTAGCCACTACATCATCAATTTAAATCACAATCCCGCATAGTCATAATATGCGTTACTAATTACCTTTAGCGTATTGTTGTTGATAATTAAGGAACATGAAGGCCGTTGTTGATAGAATGTCATACAAACTGTAAGCGGAAAATAGATTAGCATTTGGCGATTATTTTTCAAAACAAAATAATCTTTTACAAATTCTGTAGCCTTTCTTTGTAAATACCTTAATGTTATCGGGGTCGTTGAAAGACATCACGTCTAGGTGGTTTGTGATGACTAAGAGTATACGCATGTTTTTAGAGGAAGGCTGTTTAAGATTTATGTTCATTTACAGCATTTTTGAAACCATACTGTTAAGAAAGCGTTTTATCACGGTTGGTTAACATAAGTTGCAAACTGTCTAAGACGTGTTGCTTAAAAAACGTCAAAAGTATTATAAATAAGCTTAAGAAACAAAGAAGACACAAGTGTTAGCAATTTTGATGTCATACAGTAAAAATATAATCTTTATGGGCTTTGTAAGCTACGTCTATCGGCTTAGGCTCATAAGCTTAGCATTTTCATCAAAATAACAGAGCTTAACATAGGTTTATTTAGCAACCTACCTTAATATAGACTTTTTTGTAATCTTATTTTTGTATTTCTTATGTAGTACTACGAACATTTTCATAAAGCATCTTCTCTTGTTTTTTAGGCCTAGTACGATCATGTTCATAAATCATCTCATTTAAAATTTTTTTGTAAAATATCTTTAAAAATTTACAAAGTAATGTATCTCTCTATGTAATTCTTGTTTATCTACTACCAATCTTATTAGTACTCAACCCAAAGTACGACAGAACTACAACCCTTTTTTGTGGGAAACTTTGGGTAAAAACTTCCTTCTCGACCCCAGAATGACGATGAATTTTTCATTATGTATCTAGTATTTCACTATAGTATCATTCTCTATAGTTTAATGTTGACAAAGCGCTTTTATGTATAAAAAAGTTTTCTTTTAGTTTATGAGTGACGACAAAATACTATTTTAGTAGGTGTGTTGCTGAGGGCTAAGACTAGTATAAAAGGCTGTACTATCCAATTCTAGCCTTTTACTAGACCTAAGAAGCTAGGCCCGGCCCAATTTTTCGGGCGGTTCTTGGGTTTACTGGGCTTTTACGTTTATTCAATGACCTTACTAGACTACATAGTAAGGTCACTGTATATGCCTTAGACCCAGTGCTATATAGCAAGTATCAAGCAGCATTGTTTTTCGACCCAAAATAAATATTTTGACTATTGCCATCTTTTTTGGTGAACATTCCCACAGCCATTAGGTATAAACGAGGCTGCAAATAATGCGCGGCCTAAAAATATGCACAGCTCTATACGGATGTGTCTACGGCTTGATTAATTGTTATTGATTTGACCTTTAAAATTCAGGGATTTGATAGTACAAAGGGTGGGGTACATGGCTTAGGAACGTAGTATTAACCAAAGTCTTGTAAAATTTATTTTAAAAATTAGGAAGTTTACTTAATCCTGTGCTCCTCTTAAAACAAATTTTGCGAGATTTGGGGGCTCACAACTATTTGAACAACTATATAGTATATTAGGTTGTTCAATTAATTATGAGCCCCTTTTAATGAAAATTTTTGGGATTTGAGGCCCAGTATTATTTGAACATCATAATATAAAGTTGTTCAAATAATTCTGCGCTCGTTTCAACGCAAATTTTCCAGTGTTATGGGGCCCAGAATTATTTGAACAACCCAATATATCTCAAAACCATTACACTGACAAGTTTTAATAAACCATTCCTTTCAGGAGCAATAAACCCCTATTACCTTGAAGAGCTGTTCGAACGGAATATGAACCCCTTCGAGTACTACGATAATCGTGTGCGACGATCTCAAATTGCCAGTCAGTGTTGTGCGAAGCGATGTACGTTGAACTTTATGAAGTCGTTTTGTTGCGCTGAAGTAGATGACACAGTAAACTTGGAAAAAATAGAATAGGATATTGTTGACAAATGTTATGGTTTGTCATCGTTTTATCTGATTTAGTCATCATTTGGCTAAATCGCAATTAGTTACAGTAGTACTTTATATGAATTTAAGTTACACGTTAGAGCAATTTTCATACTATAGCTTTCAAACTACAGTACTATTAGTACGGTAGTTTTCAAGCTACTGTACTTTTAGTACAGTAGCTTTTAAGCTACGGAACTAGTAGTACATTAGTTTTTAAGTACTAGTGCTGTAACTAAAAAATCTGTCATGTTAGTCTACTAGTAATAGTGTAGTTTTTAGGCTACTGTACTAAAACAACAGTAGCTTTTAATTTACAGAATTATTACTACAGTAGCTTGCAAGATATCGTACTAGCACTACAGTAGTTTGTAAACTACAGTACTGCTCCTACAGTAGTTTTTAAGTTTTTATATTAGTACTACGGTAGCTTTTTGCATTGATTAGTATTCTTCAAATTGTCTTACAATACGGTTCATAAAGTCATTATTGTTTTTCAAATCCTATTTTTCACTTTGTATGTTCACTACATTGTATTTCTTAACTACATATTATATATTGTTTGTATTTTTGTTGCATTTTATACTCATCATCATGTTATAAACTACATATAATGTACAAAACCCACTTTACATTTTAGTTGTGCACATCATCATATATTTGCATATAAGTCTAGTATACGGTAATATATCTGAATGTTAGTCTGAAATACGATCATGTATCGGCATATTATTTTAATATATGATAATATATATGCATGTTAGTTTGGCATACGATCATATATTAGCATATTAGTTTGGTATACAATAACATTGTATTTTATAGTATTTATTGGATAGTAAAGTTTGTTCTCATAGTATTTTGAAAATAGATGGCACCATAGTACCACAACAGCATAGTATCAAAATATTTTCGTATTTGAAGCAAAGTAGTGGTTTTTGTACTATATAGTATCATATTGCATCACATTACTAGTAATTTCTTAAAAAATTGTGCTATACAGTATCATTTAGTGAAGTTAAATTAATAGTATTGATTTACAGAGTTGTACTATATAGTATCAATCTGAGCACTATGAATTCATACAGTACTGCAAAGTTTGTAATATTGTAGAAGAAGTTGTAACCCTTGTATAGTATATTCTCATTGGACAGTGCAGGCTTTCCTATAGCGTTTAGTATAGCTTTTACTTATCATATAGCTATTACTGATTGTATGAAACTCGGTAAATCTTTCATTTATATAATATTGTCTATGTACTTATGTCAACTTACTTAACTTGCTTAATACTATTATTATTTTATTTATGATTGTCATTACTGTTCTTGTTATTATAGTTATTATTTTATTATCCACTTAACTGACATGTTACTTACTATCACTTTATCACTTTACAAACATGATAAACTCTTACATTGTAGAAACTGTAATAAAATTTAATAAAGCCTTTTAACTTCGTAATAAAGTATAAATATTTGAAACTCCAGATTAGATGTTTATGCCGGAAATATAATGAAATAGAATCTGCAAAAACGTAGTAAAAATAAGTCATAATAAGCTTAACAGAGTCCAAAAACTCAATTTAATGAAAACAGTTTGCAAAATATATTGCTGTAAGACTTCAGTATGATCTTTTGTAGAACTAACATTAAAGGTTTTATACTACCCTATTTTTGTAATAATAATCCTTTTGATTGTTCTTGTAATGTTTGCAACAGGGACAAAGTACAGAAATTAGAAATCATGTAGAATAAAAAAACGTGCTTAATAATGATTTCTTAACAGTTCAAGGCTTGATAGAGCAGGTCTTTCAAAAAAAGCACGGCAAATATTGTGCAAATGTAAGTCCATAGTTTGTAGGGTAAGAATGCAATAAAGCTAGAGTGGGGTTAGAGCTGAGTTTTACAAAAAAATAAAGTAAAGATAGGGTAAGACTAGAGTAAGATATATAGAACGATAATGTGTAGAAAAAGTGAAACAAAGGGAAGGCTTTGGTAGAGAAGAGCAAGGCATGGTAGGGTAAGACAACGCAAAAAAGAGAGAGGTATGAAGGACATTAAAGGTAATACAAAACTTGTCGAGCAAAGATACGGCTAAGGTACAGTACAGTAGGGTAGGGTAGGGTAAGGTAGGGTAGAGTAGGGTAGGGTAGGGTAGGGTAGGGTAGGGTAGGGTAGGGTAGGGTAGGGTAGGGTAGGGTAGGGTAGGGTAGGGTAGGGTAGGGTAGGGTAGGATAGGGTAGGGTAGGGTAAGGTAGGGTAAGGTTGGGTAGGGTTGGGTAGGGTAGGGTAGGGTAGGGTAGGGTAGGGTAGGGTAGGGTAGGGTAGGGTAGGGTAGGGAAGGGTAGGGTAGGGTAGGGTAGGGTAGGGTAGGGTATAGTAGGGTAGGGTAGGGTAGGGTAGGGTAGGGTAGGGAGTTGTAAAGCCTTGACAAAGCTTTTACATGAGCTGGCTATTCTACCACTTTTAAGCTACAGTAGCAAACATTTTTCAGTTTCAGCAGCCTTCCACATCCATAATTTTTGAAATTTTACATACATTGTGAGATCACTCTGTTTACAAAAACTTGTATTTACACCAAACTTGGTAAACATTGTTACTTTTGTAAAGTTTCAAGAAAACGGGGTAATTACTTACGTTGTGTACTATTTCCCAACATCCCCCAACATGCAATTTACTTTTTACAAGCCTAAAATTACTTTGACCTTATTACGTATTCAGATGTCATGTGTATGTTCTGGAATCGTCGTGGGTTCCAGACTAGTTTAAAATTAATATTTTAATTAGCATAACATGACATTGTTTCGTAATGATTGTAGACGGAATGAGTTATCGTAAGTGCTGGTGAGTATGTATACATTTTGATACCCATCCCCCAGGGGTAGGGCAACAGCAATACATCTAGATACTCATCAGCACGTACTATGCATACTTCCTTAGTAGTAATATATATGTTCGTATATACGTTATATATTTGCAGCACGAACACTCATATATGATTGTAACGTAGGCTGAGCTAAATTTAGATCTACTATGTTATTTATTGTAACAACACGTACGCATGTGAACTAAACATATAATTACAAATAATTACAAAACCGACGACTAAAACGTCATGAAACGTCGGTACTGCCACATTATGAATTATTTTATACATAATTGTCTATTGTCACAGTACGAATTACAGGCAAGTAGATACTGCCACAGTACGTATTATAGACAAGTACTTATTGTCTCAGTATGTCGTATATAAAAGTATATATTATCATAGTACGTATAATACATGACAAGATACTGTCATACTAGTTATTATACATAACGTGTTGTACACTGTAACTACGTACAAACCTAGCAAGTATTAGAATTACAAAAAACGCCGCCGTAATAATTAAAACTTAGTCAATACTTTGCTTTTGCACTATACTTTTGGAAGAAAGCAATTATGAAATCTACAGTAACATAAAGATACTACCATTATAAATACTATTCATTATAAAGCATCATTTCATTGAGTTATGTGGAAAGAGTTACAGAGCCTCAATTATTTTTTTGATACTTGTTGCAACGATAGCCGTTTTGTAAAGTTAATAACCGTACTTTGTGTGATATAGAATTGTAAAGCAATGCACAGTACTGTATATAACTATCAAGAGAAGTTTCTAGCTGCACTACAGCAAGCATGATTACAATTCGGCTAAAAATAATCTGTAATAATTACAATAAGATGAATTACAGTGGAAATTCTTTATAAAAAACTCGTATATAATGCAACCTCTGTATAACAAACATTTTTCATTCTTGTCGAGCACTACACAGTGCCTTTAAAACCTCTCTATAACAAAACCTCTTTATATCGAACAAATTTTAAACCCCTTAGCATTTTGATATACAAAGGTTTTACTGTAGAATGTTACTTTCTTACTGTAGGATAAAAGTTGAAGCAAAGCCAGGGTAAGGCTATGTTTGGTGTAGAGTGCGGCTAGAGCAGACCAGAGTATAACAAGGATTGGTTTGCAAAGGGTTATGTGAATAAAACTATTTATGTTATGTTTATGTCTATGTCTAGGTTAGAAAGATGATATGTTTAGTCTATGATAGTTTTAGGATAAGGTTAGAGTAAGGCAAAAAAAAGTGTAGCCTGACATTGTGAGGAAAAATTAAGTTAAGGCTTGGGTAAATTTAACGTTAGATGAGAAAAACACTAGATTTGGCTAAAGTAGGGTTATATCTGGTGCAGCGAAAAACTAGGATAAGACCTAAGTGAAGCAAGAATTAGACCATAGTAAGTTTAGTTGTAGACTATAGAAAGATTAGGTTAAAATTAGAAGAAGAGTAATGCGGAGCTAGTATAAGAACAAGGTAAAGCAAGGCTTGGGCTAAGGTAGCGCTAGGTGTAGGTTAAGGAAGGAGTATTTTAAAATTGAAGTAAATTTGTATTTTGACAAGTATAGAGCTAGATTTGGGCTAGGGTAGGTAGAGCCATAGTGACGGAAGGATAGGGCCATAACAAACTAGTTATACCAATTTTTTAATTTTTTTGTTAACAGTTTATTTAATTTTTTTATTTTAATTATATTTTTTAAAAATTTAATAAATTATCTAAAAACATCATTAATTCCTCCCTGGCTTTTTATTAACTTCAATAACAATTTGCGTAGATAAAAAAACAAAATTAGTTCAAATTAGAATCCATTGATTGACGACGTTTTCTCCGGCGCCACGGTGCTACGCGTTAAAAAATGTACATTGACAGTAGTGTGGGTCTTCTGAATCTTCTGCCACGGATGTCTGAGTTTTCGACGTATTTCGCCAGACGTTAACAGTAATATGACACCATTTGGAAGGTCGTATACGTCGGAAACAATTAACAACATGTACTCGTACAGATGCTCGTTGTTTTCGTCTGACAGGTATTTCCTGAAACGATTAGTTTATAAATGGATTGTCATTAAAATAGTTTGTAATGTTATTTTGAGACGATGGTACGGTAATTATTGTGAGGTAAGAGACAAGTTACATTGCACTTAAGGATTATGACAATGCATATACTTTTAATAACTGTTTCAAAACTTCATTAATAATTTTAAAGCTAGTGCCGAAGGTAAACCTAAAACTAAGAACTAGTTAAAAAAGGTAAGGTGAAAAGGCTAAGGTCAGGTACTGAGCCCTTAATTATTTATAAAAAGTTATGTACTGCCATTTCTTACCTCACAAAGAACACTCCACAGAAAATAAAGTTTAAAGCAAACAACATTGCAGCCTGCTTCAACATTCTCAACTCCAGTTTGGCTTTATTCGCTTGAACCCCACTTCGAAACATCAATTTAGCCTTTATATACATCAAGGTGTACAAGATGACACCACCAATCATAAGAACATAAATGTGCATTTCCCAGATATTCGAAAAGTAATGATTAATTTCTGGCGTGACCGTTATTGGACCACCGTGAAGTAAACGTCTGATACCGTTATTTTCAAATATGTACTCTGTTACTGTGAAATCAGCCGTAGTACAAGGAATAAGCACGGTGATGGAGAATATTATTGGTAGAGCGAGAAGGATTCGCGTAACTCGTTTTGTCCAGTACTAAAATTTTAAATTTAAAAATGTTTTAATACTTAAAAAATAAAAAATGTGATAAAACAATTTAATCAAAGAACTTACTTTTAGGTAAAATTCAGGAAAACAAATACCTGCAAAGCGATTGAGCGTTAACAAAAGAACATACTCGTATTGGAGAAAGGCTGAAAATAAGAATTAAATACGATAAAGGAAGAAAGGGTAGAACAAGCTAACGTAAATTAGGCTAAAGCATAATAAACGGCGCTAGTACTAAAGTTTAAATTGGTGCGGTTTTAACATAACAGTACCTTTTTGGGCTTTTAGTACCATTCAGTACCAAAAAATATAAAACAGTACCAATTTAAAATTTAGTACTATTTAGCACTAAAACTTATTAAAACAGTACCAATTTAAACTTTAGTACCATTTAGTACCATAATACAACTAAATCAACTAAAAAATAAAAAAAACCCCTTTAAAAAATCCGCAAATGTCTAAAAACCGCAGATCCGCAAATGTCCAAAAACCGCATTTGTCCTAGCGCCTAATAAACTAATGAAGAGTCAAATAAGAAAGAACAAACTACAGTAGAGTAACCTAAGACAAAACAATTAAAAGTAGGATTCATTAAGATAAGGTAAGAAAAAAAAGGTTAGCTTATGACAGGACAAAACAGTATGAAGAACAGGATAGAGCAAGAAAGGGAAGTACAGATCATTGCAGGGCAAGGCATGGCAACGTAAAACAGGGAAAAGGCATGTCAAAGGCAAGGCAAAGACAGGAAAAAAGCAAGGCAAAAGCAGAGGAAAGGCAGGGCAAAGGCAGGGCAAAGGCAGGACAAAGACAGAAAAAAGGCAGGGAAAGGCAGGGCGAAGGCAGAGCAAAGGCAGGAAAAAGGCAAAGACGCCAATAATTAGGAAATGAACTTACCAAACAACCATATAACTAGCAATGAAATTTTAGCTGCTTGATTTGGTTCATTGAAAGGTTTGAAGAAATCCGGTATAAAACCCCAAAAAATAGGCTTTTTGATAAATGTGTATAGAAAGTAGCATCTGAAAAAATTACACATCTCATTTGTTGTATTTTTTACATCACTCATCTTAAGAGTCTCTTTACCATAATGTTTATAAGCCAGTACATTTAGACAAGTATTTGTTTGTAGTTTTGTAACACTTTGATCTTAGACGTTGTTGGTTCAAAATTAAAACCCTGCGGCATTACAATTACGTTAAAACCGATTCAAAGTAAACACTTTTTTAAAAAGTGTTATCCTTAACAATAGGCTACATTTAATTTAACATGCTTATTATTGTAAATATTATACGGCACCTACAAAAAATGTTTTCAACATGTAACTACAAGTAATATTTCAAACATCATTTTATACAATAGCATCGATTTCAAAAAACCAATTTCACAGGACTATTTATTTAACTTTATTTATCACATGGAAACTATGTTTTACGCTAATTATCCTATAACTTGTCAAATAACAAACCCATTATGTTACCAGTACAATTGTCGGTTTAAAACCAATCATATTCTACTTTAAAATTCTAAATAATCTAGTTTTATATGTAGTATAACCCAAGCTAAGTATGAGTGCAGAAGGCGGGGAGTTCGATTCCCGTCGCTTTCATTTTGGCGCCCAGTCATACTGACAGGACGTTTTGGCTAGCCAAACAATTTTTTGATTAAAAAATATTTTTTAAGTTGTATTTTTCGCTTTTAGACACTTTAAAAAAAATTATCAAAAAATATCATTTTTTGAACTTTAAAGCTATACCCTTTAAACATATAAGATATAGAGCATGTAATGCGCTAGCCAACTCCGCTTAGCAGTTTTTGAAAACATTTCTCCTGGTAACTTTTTATGCTCTTTCATCCTATATGGGTATCGTTCAAAAAGCCGATAGATATTTGTTGCAATTTCCTAGTAAAGAAGGCTAGCGCCTAAACTCAAGCCAAAGCTAATACTAAAAATGTAAAAAAAAACTGAAAAAAATTCTTTTAAGTTTCAAAAAAAACTCACGCTAAATCCACAATGCCTAGCGCAGTAAATATTGTGTAGAAGGACGAGTTGAATGGTGGATGACGTTTGTTTCGTATGATTATGACAATAACTGCCAGATACAGAGGAAGGTTGAGAAAAGAGCTGAAAACCGTCGCAAACGCTGTTCCCCATACGAAGAATTGAAATAACATCAATCTGAAATTATAAAAGTTAAAATACCACTGAAGCATATAACACATTTATACTGTAGTGAAAGCATATAGAAGCATAAAAAAGAAAATATTCTACCCTACCCTTTCTTACCCTACTCTACGTTAACCTTCTCTCCCTTACCCAAAACCAAAGATAATAAACTGAAAAGTACGCCAAACATACCCAAGTACAATATCAAGCTATGTAACTTGTATTTTATAAGAAAATGTGTTAAAAAACCGTGAAACAAAAGACGTATGTTAAGCACAATGAAATTAAAATGTACTTTTATAAAATACGAAATGTTTTCAAATACTTGACAAAAATGCCACCTTGAAAAAAATTAAAACGGTCAGACCGGTTTTAATGTCTAAAAGAAATTTTAAAGTTTAGAAACTACAAAACGATAAAAATATAATAAGCTCAGTACATTTTGGTTGATACAATAGTGTAAAAAACCACAGAATTCAAAATTTTTTTTTTCATTTGAAAATGTCTAATTTCTAAAAAAAAAAAACAACTTTTTGAAAATTGAAAAAAATGTTTCAAATAATAAAAAAAAAACGTTTTAAATAAACCACTGTTCTGCCTTGCTATACCTTTGCCTTGCCTTTGCTCTGCTTTTGCCCTATCTTTGCCCTGCCTTTGCTCTGCCTTTGCCCTGCCTTTGCTCTGTCTTTGCCCTTTCTTTGTCCTGTCTTTGCCCTGTCTCTGTTTTAAATATTAAAATTTTCTATTTAAGCTATTATATTTAATAAACTTATAAAAAAGGAAAAAAATTTCAAAATTTGTGAAAAAGTACTTTTTATTAGTTTCAAAAATCCTGAAGAAAATCATTTTAAACCCTACAGTTAAACAAAACATAGACAAGTAATGAGTCATAACTTGGAAATTATGTAAATTTATACACTTTCTTTATCCAAACTAAAATTAAACTCAAATTTAATAGTTCCAAACCCTTCCCACTTTCTTAGCGTTGTCATTTACAGTCTATTTACCGCCAAACCCATTTTCAAATTCTTTCGAAATCCAACCAAAATTGACCTTTAAAGTGTTCCGCCCCAGGCCTGACGTATCCCATCATAAAATAATTTCTCAGCTATGCAAAACGGTTTTTCTTAACATGTAGCTGAACTGGGTAATTAGCCGTGAGCAGTAAATTATAACACAAGGAAAGTGTTATGGCCTCACATGACTTCTTACTGGTCGTAAAACGCAAGCAAGAAGACTATGGCATTGATTATGTGTGACAGTGAATTAATATATAGTTTCAGGGATATATTAGGATGCTCAAAAGTTTTGTAGTATTTGTGTTGTTTGCAAAAGTGCACTTTGCAGTTAAAGTATGGTTTTTGAAAACTAAAATTTTTTTTTAAATTTTGAAAAAATAGTGATGATGAGGAAAACCTAATATTGTTCTGGTATAAAAGATTTGTATTAGATACTGGTGTCACAAATGAGTTGGGAATAAGTTTTAAGTGTCAATTTATAAGATGAGCTACCAAGGTGGTCCTGTTAAAACTTTTTTTTGACTTTAAAATTGCACAATTATAGTCAAAGATCCATGTAATTCTTACAAAAATGGTTATAATTTGTTCTAACAATAAAAAAATTGCTTTATAACAAGACTAGAAGCTTAGGCTAAAAGGCTAAAAGTCAACGCCAAACATACGGCTAAGTCTAAGGCTAAAAATAAGATTACAGCTAACATTAAGGCTGAGGCCGTGGCTAAGAAATGAAAAAGTACAGTAGAACCCTTGTATAACAAACTCCTTTATAAAGAAATCTCTGTATAACGAACAATTTTTGAATCCCCCTCTAACACTATACAGTGCATTAAATGCACTTGCATTTAAAACCTCTGTAAAACAAAACCTCTTCATAACAAATAAATTTTAATCATTTTTCCTTTTTTCTCTTACCTTAAAATCGTCTCTTGACTTGCACTGACTTACAACTTTAAAAAATAAGATTGAAAGTTTTCAAATCTATTTGTTAAATCTAAACCCAATTAATACTTCTGAAACATACATTGTAATACTGTTGTTTTAAACTAATCATTATAAAAACCGAACTTTTATAAACTCATAAAACTAATAATGTAACATAGAATGTCCTACAAATAACAACAATAAGTAAACAAAGGAACTACAAATACTATTTACATGTACAGTGTTACATAGACATTATAATACTAAATAATAAAAAGTAAATATTTTCATCAAATTTGTAATATCATGATCAAAAAATTAGCCCTTGTGAGTTTTTATAAAGTTCAATAACCATAAGTATAAAAAACAAAGTACAGTAGTCTATTGTTATGAGCAAGACAGGGTGAAGGCAGGGCAAAGGCAGGGCAAAGGCAGGGCAAAGGCAGGGCAAAGGCAGGGCAAAGGCAGGGCAAAGGCAGGGCAAAGGCAGGGCAAAGGCAGGGCAAAGGCAGGGCAAAGGCAGGGCAAAGGCAGGGCAAAGGCAGGGCAAAGGCAGGGCAAAGGCAGGGCAAAGGCAGGGCAAAGGCAGGGCAAAGGCAGGGCAAAGGCAGGGCAAAAGGCAGGGCAAAGGCAGGGCAAAGGCAGGGCAAAGGCAGGGCAAAGGCAGGGCAAAGGCAGGGCAAAGGCAGGGCAAAGGCAGGGCAAAGGCAGGGCAAAGACAAGTACATTGCTACTTGTTGTAACACCCCTAACATTCACTTATCAAATGCCAATATTGTCGACAATGAAGCTATATAAAATTAATAACATTAGTCTCTACTTTACGCCGGTAATTGCCGGTTATTCGCGCTACACCTCTACCGTACACGATAAAAACTTCCGCATGACGCCTATTACAGTTAGCCTACGACTTCATATACTAAATGTTAAAGCCGTAGCTAAATGTCATTATGTATATTTACTGCGTTATATACGAAATGTTAATATACCTAGCTCTAATTATTGACTGCTTAAACGTCAATGTTATGCTACATTGTAGCGTTCTTCGTACCTACAATTCAAGATTCACTTCATGAAAGTGTTTGTTCGCTTATGCATCAATGATGCACGTGAAATGGCTACGGGTGATACGAAAATTGTTGAAATTTTTGTTTATTGACGATGAAAGGATAGAGTACAATTGTGAAAGGTCAATTTGCACTTTGAATTATCATTGTAGTTAATATAAGTAAAATAAAAATAACGTCCTAAAAAGAAACTTTTAAAAAATGAACAAATAAGTTTCTGGACTAGTCTGGTTTTGCCGGAAAAAACTTCGACAGAAAAAGAGTTAGACTGCGGATATAAATGAAATAAACTACTACTTTTTCTCTTCTCAAGATTAGCCCAGTCATACAGGTTGGGGTAGTGTAGGGCGATAGGGTTGGGATAAGACTATAATATGTACAGCTAAAATATGTAGCTATATCATGGTTAGAATAAAGCGTTGTTGGAGTTGAAAAAAACTAGATTTGCTCTGTTCTACGCTGACATAACACTCAAGCTGTAGGGTTGGGCTATGGTAGAGCTACAGTAAGACTAAGATAGAATCAGTAAGTTAAGGCTTTTTTAGACTAAGGCTAAAGTAAGCAAGTTTAAGGCAAAGGCGAGGAAAGGCTAAAACAAGGCTAATGCAGGGCTAAGACAAGGCTAAGGAAAGGCTAGGGCACAGCCGGATAGGGCTAGAGCAAAGCTAAGGCATGACCAGAACAAGGCTAAGGCAACGCTAAAGCAAGGCTGGGCACGGTTGGGTAAGACTATAAAGCAAGGTTAGAGTTTATTATTTATGATTTTACATCTTCAAACATCATTTGCATACCCTTTTTTTCTAGGCAGTTAATCTTTTCAATATGAATCACTAACTTAATCTTACAATATGAATCACTAAGTAACTTAATCTTACTCTTTGTTAAAGCAAAGTAACTTAATCCTACTTTTTGTAGTAATTAATATAATGTCAATTTACCAAAAAATATTGCTAAGTTGCGGAAGTGCTTATCTTTTTTATTAGCGTAATATACCACCAATTGCTATAACTTAAGCTTCACATATTACACAGTAATGATGAGCAGAAATCATACACTCTACAGATTAGTGTCTATTACCATTTTGTTGCCATACACCACATTTTATATAATACTTTTATGGTCAATGCAAAAGGATAAACTGTAGTAACTAGAAGTCATCACAACAAATGACTAATATGTAGGTATTTTTCAATCCAAACATGTTCCTACGCTACTATACAGTGGCAAGCCTATTCTATTCTACAGTACCGCCTAATATTGATGAATTTACGAAGTATCTTTAGGTAAATTGCACAAAACGTTATTACTTCACTTTTTCTTATGCAATCTTTTTTAATTATATAGTATTTCTTCCGATGTAAAACGACCTAACAAATTACTGGAAGTGATGGCCTTCTCTATTTATTCTTTTTTTCTTATGTTCGGCCAAAAATAACAAGTAAAAAAAGTCTTTTTTTTATTTTAATTTTGTATTTAAACCGTTTAACATACACACAGTAAAAAATATATTCAAATTTTTTTATTAAATTTATTAATAAAAGTTTAAAAAAAATTTCATCATTTATAAAAAAGACAAAAAATAGCCATATATATATGTAGAGATCAGAACAATAAATAATAAACTAAAGACAAGACACTTAACAGTATATATCATTAATAAATATGTTTTTCTATAAACTTCAAGGCACGAAATGCAAAATACAAGTATAAGAAGAAGTAAATAAAACCACAAGTTCAATAAGGTAGTGAGATCAATTGTAGTACATATATGTTAGACGCCTTATAAATTACAGAATCATTATCACAGTTTTAATCTTTTTAGAAAGTTTTTTGTATTTTATAGGGATATATGTTATAGAGTAATTAATTTTTTTAGGCTTATGTGATATAGGGTTTTTAAAGCCGTATAGGTTTATTTGTCATAGACTTTTTGAAATTTTTAGACTTATATGTTATAGAGTTTCTAAGATATCTGATAAACAATGTAGTGCAGTAAAATTCCTGTCTATTAAATTGCTCAAAGCATATAATTTGATTGTTATACAAGGGTTTTTCTATACAGGAGTTCATTATAGCAAAGTCACAAGAGTTCTAACATGGATATTTGTTTCACAGAGCTCACACATTATATGTAGCCAGTAGAAAGAGTAGAAGTCGTCCGTTGAATCGGTGTTACTGTAATCGTTTTCAAATTTTCGTTAAATTTAAAGTTTTGTGGTTTCCACACAACCCTTCGTATGTCGCGACACGTGAACCATAAAATTATGCCGTTTGGAAGGTCGTAAATGTCAGACATAATTAGCAGAATCCACTCGTTTAGATGACTGGTAGTTTTAGTACTGAAAGGGCTTTGTAACTTGTGTTTTAAATTGTCATATGTTACATATTATTATCTGTAACTGTGTTATATGCGTCATAGTGAGTTATGAGATATGAATATCTTGAGGCAACATAAGCTAGGGTAAAAGAAATGCCAAAAAAATCCTTACCTAAGCCAAAAGTAGATAGCAAAACCAAAGTTGACGCTAAACAACGCCAATGCCATGTAGAATAACTTCATTTCTGGTCGATTTTTGCTCCGATTCTGACCGTTCCCTTTGATCAAAGCTCTTCGAGTAACAAAGAACATAACTGCATACATGATCAACCCAAGAAACAGTAATGTATACACATGTAATCTCCATACAATACTAAGATATGGAGCCACATCACCTTTCATTATTGGTCCATAATGCATCGTACGATTGATACCGTCAATTTCAATCGTATACTCACTTATTTGAGCTTGCATTTGAAAGCCGGGAAAGCCGATAATAAAGGACAGGACAGCTAGTAAAGCAATGCAAGTTTTTGTGGTCTTGTGCTGGCAGTACTGTAAAGATATAGAATTATACAAGCTTTTCGTTAAGCTAGGGTTAGACTATAGTGAAACTAAGAAAAAATCTAAATTGAGACAAAATAGAGTAAAAATCGGCAAAGGCAAGAAAAAGGTACTAAGCCAATGACCAAACTATAACAATTTTTAGAGTGAGGCAAGGGTTGTTAGAGGCTAAGGCAAGAGTAGAATATGGGTAGAGTAAGGCTTTAGTAAAGTCAACGTAAGGCTAGGGTAGAGCTAAGAATAACGCTAAAATAGGGCTAGGGTAGATCAAAAGTAGCGAAATGGTAGTGCTAGGGTAAGCTCATGGTTTGGCTAAAGGAAGACTAGGGTAAGGCTTGAGTAAGACGAAAAAGAGAAAAAAGCAGGCAAGAACATAAAAAAAGTATGTCAATGACAAAACAATTACAAGGTTTTTGAAGCGCTAGGGCCAAGCTAATGCTAAAGCTAGAGTAGGATTAAAATTTTTTTCAGCTTACATTAAGATAAAACCTCGGAGTGACTAAACAAGTAAATCGGTTCAGATTGAGCAAGAAAATGAGCTGATATTGGTAAAAACCTAAAATTTTAATTTTAAAAAATTTGAAAGTTAAAATTTTGAAAAAATGTAAAATTTTAAATATTTAATTTTAAAGTTTTCATAATAAAATAATTTCAAAAATTAAAAAAAAATAAAAGCGATAACTAACCAAAAATATAAAACCAAGGATAAATAAGTTTGACATATTCATTAGGCGTATTGAATGGCTTGGCCCATTCTGGTATTAGTCCAAAGAAAATGGGCTTCTTTATAAATAGGTATAAACTGTAGCACCTGAAACACAAAGACCATTACAATATTGTACCTTAAAATACAAGCTATTGTTAATTTGTGTACAATTACAAATTGTATGGCTTATTAAAGCTTGGCTACGTAAAATGATGCTATGACAACCTTTAGTTTCATTTTAAGCCTATAAACTTCAAAAATGTTAAAAATTTTAAAAATTTCGTTTTAAATTTCAAAAATTTTCATAAACTCAAAATTTTTAAAATTTCATTTTTAAACCTAAAAATTTGCATGTAACTAAAAGTTTTAAAAATTTCATATAAAGCCCAAAAACTTACATCAAATCAACCACGCCTAAAGCGAAGAATATTTTGAAAAAAGGCGAGTTAAATGGCGCTCTGTTCCCGTGTCGTACCACAGCGCACAGAACAATGATATATAATGGAACATTAAATAAAACGCTAAAGCTGGTAATACCAAAAACACCTCCATATAGGATTTCGTACCACATTTTGAATCTAAAAGTCGTACTTTTGAAAAGAAGTTTAAGCTGTAAAAGAGCAGACGAAAATAAGGCACTAAACCATGTTATTATAGTTTTTTAATGATATGTAGGTATCGGAAAGTAGCGATAACACACGTAGTGAAGCACAATGAGGGGCGGCAATATAAAAAATTTTTACAAAAAATTTTTAAAATTAACTTTTTTCCTCCCTCAATTTTTAAAAAAATATGTTAGACTTGGTCCTGTCAGCCGAGTTTAAAGATCAAAATTTGTCATATAACTTTAAAAATCTAGCAATACCTTTGAAACTCAAAACAATAGAAGCACGATAACTCAACTACAATATAATATCAGCCCCACCTTTCAAAATCACAAACCAAAAACTTCAATAAGCAGAATATCGTAGTTTGTAAGAGTACTGCTAATTTTATGTTTTTACCTTCACACTTTGTTTATCAAGAAGCATCCTACAAGACCTCACATTGCTACAACTTATGTCTTGATATACCAAGAACTAGATGCATTTATAAACAAGTTTGTACATTTGTAAAAAAGTGTAAAATTGAAAACTTGGTCTTTTGAGTTTAGTATAGATCAAACCAAACGTTCTGGAAGTTTAGGATATTGAAGTTCTACTCTAATCATTAGCTCTATCTTATACTACTCTAGTCTTACTTTGTTCTATCTTAGCCCTAGCCTTATAATGTCCCTCACTTTGCCTTGCCTGTCATATTTTTCTCTTAGTCCTACCCTAGCCTAATCATAACTCTATCTAGGCCCATCATAGGCGTGTCTTAACCCTAACCAAACCTTATAATAACCCCGGCTTAGCTTTACCCTATCTTTATCAAAATCGCATCTGAGATTTCTCCTACCCCTACATTAACAATACAAATGCCTATAACAACAACAACCAAAAAAATGCTTAGTCAAATAGCTAGTCAATTCTTACAGTAATACGATACAAACCATAAGTAATTATATTTTTAAATTGACAATAATCTTTCTTTCTCCCTCAACTCGTTAGCAAGACGTTATTATCACATTGTGCACAAAATTACGTATATAGTCATCATGCAAAACAATTAGTGTCGTACAAACAAATTGCCCACTTAATGAAAGTTTTAAACCGCCAATTTTCCACTAAATTTTTTCCCAATTTTTCTCAACGTTTTTATGAAATTTAGTGGAAAAAATTGGGTAATTAGCAATCTACAGTACACGTTTTACTTTAACACACTCGACCGTATCTATTTTTTTCAACCAACAAGATTAAGACAAAGATGCGCAAGGTGGTCGAGCCGATTTTTGCAACTAAACCAATTTTTTGGCTTGGCTTGGGCTTAAATATGCCAGGCCAGCTTTTTTCAAATTTGCTTCGGCCTGGCTTAGCTCCGTCCCGGGCTGTTTTTACAAGGCCTTTTTTTAAGGTTACTAAAGCATAATTAAAGGACCAGTTCGCCCATTCAAATATCATTGGCATTCTGTCGCAAAAAGCGTCGAAAATCAGGCAATTTCAATCAAAATCATTTTTCTCAAAAAACGTGAGTGGGTCGGCGTCGAAATGAATTTTCCAATTTGGGACCGACCTGCTCAGGTTTTTTGCGAAAAAAATGAATGTCGAATTTTTTCGACAGAATGCCAATGATATTTGAATGGGCGAACTGGTCCTTTAAACGTTATAGAACTAGCACAATTAAACAGGTTGTAAAATGGAGAACTTATAATAAGTTCTAGATTTTCAAAAGTTAACAGTGCAAAATGTATAATAATTTAAATTGTAAAATGACGTCAGGTTAATTGATAAAGAAGATTTAGAACAATAGCAATTGTCCTAAGGGTGACTTTTTTTCAAATCAACTCTACAACCACATACATCTTCAAGAACTTCTTCTATTTTTTCTATGTCACTATCCTAATTTTTTTAAATGATTTTTAAAGAAAAAAATAAAAAGTACAAGAAAAAAAGGGTTAAAATAAAAACTTTGTTATACAGTCATTACTTTAGTAGCTTTAACACAGCAATATAGTTTGTCAAAAAACTATACTATACTCCAAGCAAATTATCATCACATACAGTAGAACTTATGTATAACTGTATAACAAACGCCTTTATAAAAAAAACTCTCTACAACAAGCAGCTTTTAAATCCCATCTATGACTACAAAGTCTTAAATCTCTTCTGTACCGTGGCTTCATAACGAGTAAATTTTAAACTCTCGAGCAATTTGTTAAACAGAAACTACATTATATATTGTACTTGAGTAAATTATCTACAATATCTACAATTGTCAATCCAAATTATTTACACATACACACAATAACTTGTGTAAACAGAACAACCAATATTTTTGTTTAGATATACATTATATATTATATACTACCCACTACACTAAACCCCTACAGATTATAAATATTAATTTAACATCCGGGTTACAAAACCCGAAAAGGACATGCCTTTTTACACAACCAATGCCAAATTAGCGTTTTTATATACACAACCGTAAATAAGTCATTTTGACATACGATGATAATATAGTAACTTTTTAGGGCTATACTGTAGAGGTTGTAAACTAATTATCTTAACGTTTATCGTGTAAAAAGATAAAGATATACGTAGGGTTAGATTGCAAAAAATAAGATTGTGCTTTGCGTTATAATAAAACATATACAGTGGAACAACTGTATAACGAATTGTTCAGGGACTTGACTTTGTTCGTGACAAAGGAGTTTCGTTATACAGATGTTTTAAATGCACTGTGTAGTGGTAGACGGGGATTCAAAAGTTGTTCGTTATACGGGATTTCCGTTATGGAGGAGTCCGTTATACAGTAGTACCACTGTAGTTTATTAAAATACAGGATACGTTAGTATAAAAAACACAAATTACTAAAAAACCTATTTCCAGAAACTGTTAACTAAGTTAGTTAACGAGATATTTGAGATCAAATTGTTTCCATCTGCTGCCCTATTTGAGCCTTCTTATTATCTTTGACCAAAACGAATGGATGGATACATCAATCCAATACAGTCGATCAGTTTAGAAGTTAGTCTGCTTTGTCTTAACTAAGCGACCCTAGTCTGGCTTGTGAACATGTAAACGGGCCAAGCTTACAAGGAAAGTACCCTACCTGCCCCGCTCAGAATCAGCTCAAAGTTTTTATATGAGTTCTTTGTACCAACAATAGTACCTATAAAAAATTTAAGCTTGCGTTTTTGAGTTTCAAATTTAAAATATTTTCGTTTTCCGCTAATTTAGCAAGTTTGGCATTGTGTTTCAAGCACTTTTTTTAGCTTTCCAGACAAGATACGCTTACAAATTTAAAAATTTAGGTTTTCTAAAGTTTTTATACTAGAATATCAAAGGAAAATCATTAAAAGTCAAAAAAAGACAAAGTTACAAGCTTGTATATGCCAATGTGGCGGGAAATTCAAAATGTCATTTTTTAATCTCGATTTTCCCGAGATTTCCTGAAAAGCTCAATTTAATACTTTGCTGGAGATCTTATATTTACATGATCTTCCTTTATAAAAAGTTTGAAGTCAATCAGAGCGGGGCAGGTCGGGCACCTTTCTTGTTAGTCAGTCTTTTCAGAGATCTACAGTGTGCAGAATACAGTAAATTTGAACTCTGTTTGTTTTATTTTAGTGACGTTTTGCTTAGCTAAACTATATATTGATAAATTTTTTTTAATTGTAATTTCTGCTTTTAATTTTTTTTAAAAAAATTTAAAAAAGTAAAAAATTTTAATTTGATCTAGAAAGCTAAAATTTTTATTTTTCTGTTAGAATTTATTTTTTATGATCTTTATTACTTCAAATTTAAAATTGTATGCAATTTCAAAAGTAAATTATAGCAAATGTAATATGATATTATCTGACGCACATTATACGAATTTGTCGTTTAAGTAACCTATAAATTACAACAAAAAAAAACAAATAATAACTATATATTATTACACACAGTTATTGTTACTGTACTTCAATATAACGCGATACATGTAGTAGTAATTGGCTTTATACATATAGCAATACTTAGCTATATATTACGTATATAGTAATACTTAGCTATATATTATACATATAGTAGTATTTAGCTTTACCTATCACACTAAATGCGACAATTTATGCGTGTACTTTTTCATAATGCGTTTACTTATGATGTGTATTATAAAAACATACGCATATATGACTTTAAAGGTTCATCTTAAATCAACAGTTTACTAGGTGAATACAGACTATGTATTGGTACTCTGTATTTACTTGCACCATGTATCATTAAAAGACTCTTTCTTGAAAGAAAAGATTTTAAACTACTACCGCACGTATACATGCATGCGGTAGTAGAAAAAATAATGTGTAGGTACAGTTGTCAAACTGTAATAACACAGTAAAAACTAATTTTATAAGAAGAATTTTGGCTTACTGTGACATGAACAGAAATCCTAGAAAGAACCAAAAATTAAATATTATATATTATACTAGGACTTGTAAAAAATTAATGTGTAAAACTGTATTTTTAAAAAAGTTATAATTGTTACTGTCTCGATTTTTGCACTACATTTATGTGCACGAATAAATTAAAATTTTGTTCAAAAAAATGTGGTTTATGATATTGTACGGACCAGGAACAAGAGTTAGTACAGTCTGCAATTTGTAAAATTATATTCTTTATGTTAGTCACTCATAAAACGAGTTTGTACTAGACAGAGTCCAGCTCAGCAATCCTCAGCCGAGCCCAGCCCCTGCCCCAGCCGCAACCGCAGCCCAGCTTTGTCCTGCTTTGTCCTGCCTTGTCCTGCCTACAAAGTCTAGCTCGTTCAGACCAATACAACCATACTCAGTTAAACTGACACTCAACCCAATCCTGTACCACCCATTCCAGCTTAGCCCAACCTATAACATTCCAGCTCGTCCGCTCACCCTAACCCTAGGCGAGACATAACAAGTTTATTAAAAGACCGAAGGGTCCTCTCCAGACCATAGGAGGACCTCCGTTGGTCTGGTTAAAAGATAAAAGAAGCTTGACTGAGCCAAACCGAAGCAAGTTTGAAAGAGATAAGGCCTACACATGTAGAGCCGTAACCCAAACCATGACCAGGTATGTTAACACGACCAAAAAATTAGTCCCGGCCCAACCTCTATGCAAGTCAAATGTTGGTATTACAAAATGCTATCAGTTTGAAGTGTAGAAATGTAAATGATGATAAATTTCTGTTTACTGTACTAAATTCTGTAGTTGGAAGCATTTATCTTCTCTAAACTACGTTTAAAACATCACGTATTTTCACGAAAATTTCTACAAAATGTTGTTGTTTTACTTTATCATTACGCTTGGTAACTGGAAACTATATTTATAATCTTCCATGTAATCTTTACAAGTGATGTTTGAAAAAAAATCTTGTAAAAATATATTTTTAGGTAATTATAGGACGTAAATAATATATTTTATTCTAATAGTTCATCTTTTAATAATGCGGAAGTTAATACAAAGCTTACTGTAAGAGCTGAAACATATAGTTTACCTTAGCTTACTTAGCATTTAAAAGTTTACAAGGAAGTACAGTTAAAATGAAAAAAACGAACTTTAAAAGACATTTTAACGTAAGTTTAAACTCAAAATTAAAAAATATAAAAAAAAAAATTTTTTTGATCTTTTGAATATTTAAAACTTTTTTGCTCTCACAACAAAAATTTAAAAATAACGTGACAGTTAATAAATGTACATGCTTTAGAAGTTTGATCTTTCTATTTTTTCTTGTTTTTGTCTAAAGTTTCATCAATCGTTCGTTTGCTTTTAACAGTTGACTAACAAACAGCTGTTGTCAACAAAGTGAGGTAAAAGTGTTCAAAATAACGACATAACATAAACCACGTTTGCTCCTTTGCATTTTAGAAGTTTTTAGAAGTTCTGTACGAGCATGGTTTCAGGTTTTACATGGTTTAGCCTCAGCCTTATCAATCTTCTCTATGTTCTGTTTCTGTCTTGATCCAACTCTAGCTAACCATTAGAATTATTATAGCTTTAACGTTTTCTTAGTTTAGTTCTACACTGTCTCTCTTCTAGCCTTAATTTTGCTCTACTCTAGATAAATCTTAACACTACAAGAGCCTTACATTAGTTCTATCTTCGTCCCATTCCACCTAACCTTTAGCTATACCTTGGTTTAAACTACTTTAACCCTGCTGTAGCCTCACTATAGCCTTTCTTTAGTTTTATCTTAGCATTGTACTAGCTAAAACTTAGTTTTACTCTAGCCCTTCTATAGCCCTACTTTAACTTTACTTTAGCTTTATCTTGGCACTGCTATATAGCTAAACTATAGCTCTAATAGCTCAACCCTAACTTTGCTCTGGCTCTATTATAGCTTTGTCTTGGCCTTACTTGAGCTAGACCCGAAGCGTATCATATTAAATTGTTCACATAATTCTGTGTCCTTGTACACCACAAATCAGCTTTGAGAAGCAGGTTAAATTAAGTGAACAACCTAATAGCTCTCCACTAGTCTTCCGCTAGTCTTACACTAGAGAGCTAGTCTACCTTAGATTTACATTATCTAATCATAAATTCATTCTAGCTTTACTCTAGGCTAGCCAACATTTAGTTTATCTGAAAAAAAAAGCCGCCAACCGTATTTTACTTAAGAAATTTAAATTCTATTTAAAAATGTTCTTTTTTTAAAACTTTTACAAATGTGAGTCATATAAACGCCTTCACGGTCCAATAACTTTTACTATGGTTGTTTATTTCAAGGTCTTTACAACTCTTCAGTTTTTAAGCGTACTATTGTTTTTATGTGGATTTTTATAGGCATTTCTTCAAACTCACCTTTTACTCTCTGTTTGAATCGACTACTTTTTGAAATTTTTTGACCAGCTCTTTTTTTTTAATTTTGGTCGATAAATATTATTTTTTGAAATTTTGGTCAATAAATACAATTTTTTTTAAATTTAGTTGATAAATTTAATTTTTTAAAGTTTTGGTCGATAAATTATATTTTTTTCAAATTTTGTTAACAAATTCTAGTTTTAAAAAATTTTGCATCACATGTCACCTTTATTAAGAATATCGTCACAAAATGCCTTTCCAGACAAAACCAGACATAAAATCAAAAACCTCGGGTATTTCGCCGTCTTTTGTTACAAATGTCCTTTGAGTGTCAACAACTTGTGTCCGATCAACAATAATTGTTTTTGGCTTTGATTTTCTTTAAAATGGCGTTCTCAATCAATCGAAATGACTTTAATCAGTTTAACAAGTTTCGTATGGTTACTGTTGTTCATTAGGGTTTAAAAAAACTGATTGTAACCTTTGTTTCGCGTTTTTAATTTTTTTAAATTAGTTTTTCTTACTATGTAGAATTTAGTTTTGATTTTTTAGTAAAATGAGATTTATGTGGTTGGCCTTTACGGTAATTGCTACAGTAACCTTAACAAGTAATGTTCAAGCCGACACTAATCCTTTTGGCGTTGGACTGGCTGATTTGTTGCGTAAGTAAACTAGTAATTAGCCTGTAAGCCTAGCAGAGGCCCCTAATCCAAAACCCTAGCCCAGAGCCTTAGTCCAAAGCCCTAGCCCAGTGCTATAGTCCAAAGCCCTAATCTAGAACCCTAGTCCAGAGCCCTAGCCCAGAGCCTTAACCCGGAGCCCTAGCCCAAAGCCCTAGCTAGAGCCCTAGCCAGAGCCCTAGCCAGAGCCCTAGCCAAAGCCCTAGCCCAATACTATAGTCCAAAGTCCTAGCCCAGAGCCTTAACCCAGAGCCCTAGCCCAGAGCCCTAGACCATAGCCCTAACCCATAGCCCTAACCTAGAGCCTCTAGCTCTATCTGTAGGCTTTGTTTTGTCATACCCTTTCTGTAAAATGACACTTTTCAGCAATTGTTCAACAAAAAGCCCCAGAATTCTTGAATCAGCTGACTGGTCGTGATCGTCAAACCTTCAACAATGTTATAAATGATGACATTAACCAATTGCCAAAGGCTGATAAGGGTCTGTTCCGCAAATTTGTCGATTTTGCTTTGAACTTTTTGGTCAGCAGTGGCAAAGTCGATGGTACTGTTGGTTCTGTGCTGAAAAGTGTAAGTTGTTTAGAGCAGCAGAGTTTAATTTTTTTAGTTCAGAATGCTTTTTAAAAAACATTTCGAAAAAATTTCAACTTAAAAAAATTTTAAATTTTGGAGTTTGGTACCTAGAAATGCATTTTCCAGGTAGTACCAATGATGTTGGATGATGGAAACAACAAATTGTCTACCACTGCCAAGATCAGCCAGATGGTTGGAAGTTTGTCTCCAGAACAACGTCAACAAATCGAAAACATCTCTCCGGCTTTCAAAACTGTCTTCAACAGTAAGTTATTATCTGCATTAAGCAAATTGAAAGTATTATACATTATAACTTCTGTATGACATATTGCTTTAGGGGTTATTAAACTCCTAAAGCAATATGGCTTTGGTATGAAGAGGTTTTGTTAGAGGGGCCAACTAGGCCCAGCCTCGAGCAAGGCTGATGAAATTTTGAAAAGGGTCGGGTTGGTCTATGTGGGTCCAATGACCTGGGCTAAAACTAAGACCCTCGAGGCCCAGTTTAAGTCCCGTAACAACAAATTTGACTTGCGAAAAGTCCTGTAAGCCTTAGTGCCAAGCAGTCCTGTAAGCCTTAGTGCCATGCAGATGTTATCAGCTTATTCTGACTCTTTATAGGTATTGACACATATTAAAACTTCGTTATAACGACATGTTCATAATCCTCGAGCCATTCTTTATACAGGAGTTCAACAGTTTAAACAAATTTCATAAATTAAAAAAAGACTATTTTTTACGAATTTCAGTGATTGGTCTGAACGCTGCTAACCCAGTTTCCTTCAATTTGCCATTGATTGCCGCTTCGACAGTGGCTATGTTCCTCTTCCGTCAACTTTTGTAAATCAACAATAACTTTTTTCAAAATTTTTAAAACCGAAAAAAATATATTCAGCTTAGCAAATGTTGTACATTCAATAAATTTATGTTTATTGTACATTTATTACCTATTTTTACAACTTTAACTTACATTGTAAAGACAGAAAAAAGTTTTGTCGTTTGGTAACACTGGTCGCCAAGTTAAAAAACGACAAAACTTTTTTTTGTTATTTTATGCGTAACCAATATCTGATAAGCTAATTACAAGGTAAAATACGTGGTCTGAACTAATACGACTTAATCAGTACAAGGAATACAGCACGGTATACAAGGGAAACAACAGCAAATAGGGAAGAAACGGCAGCCATTCCCTCTGGCACCACGACGATAAACCACTGGTCGTCCATAATCATCGTATCTTACGTCTTCTCTGACATAGTATGTTGGACCGTGGCTAAAAATGTCATTTTATAAATATGTTTTGATATTTTAAAATTTTAAAATTTAAAAAAAAATTTTTTTTGAAATTTTAAAATTTTTTAAAAAGTTTAAAAAATAGTCTAAAAAGTTTTGACATGCCATTCAAAACCACCCTACCCAGGCTTGTAAGGTCGATCGTTGTAATAGACAGTCGGTGGGTATGTCACTCGACCACGCTCATCTCTATATACACCATCTCTGTAGTTATATGAGGCTTCTTTCGAATATGAAGAATTCATTTTATGGCTAAAATAAATCAAAAATAAAAAAAAATATTTTTTTTTATAATTTTAATTTATCGAACGGTTCAAAAAAGTCTTGTCGTTTTATAACATAGAAGCGAGTGGAAATTGGCGACAAGACTTTTTTCGGGTTTTAAAAGTTGAAAAATCAAAAAATGTTATTTTGAAACAATGTAAATTAAGATTCTTAACTTTTTTAAATGGCTCTGCCAAATTCTAACTTTCAAATACAGCTTTTACCTAAAATACAGTACAAAACCTTTCATAGTACAAAGCCAAAGGTATAAATCAAAAACATCCCCTCCCAGCCTTCCCCAAGCCCTAAAAACAAAAATATTGTGTTATCAAGAAACTGGGTGATAACCAAAAGTTTAAAAATGAAAATATTTTTGATTCTGAACCACCTTTTACTTTACAATAAACCGTTATTCATCGTGAAAAAGAAGAAAAAACATATTAAAGTTGAATGAGAAACAGATGACTCATTTCTGTTTGCTCTAATTTTACCTTTGTCATGAGTTCACGTAACTTTTCGAAATTTAATTAAAAAGCAATGAAAGAGTGGAACAGTTGAAAAAGTTAGGTTTCAAACTAAAAAATTATTTTTCTTGGAGCAAAAAGTTTATTTACAAACACTAAATGTAATACAAAGATAAACATGGTGGTAAAATTGAAAAAAGATTTTCAAAGTTGTCTAAAAATTAAAAAAATTAAGGTAGAGCTATAATAAGGCAGAAACAATAGGGCAAAAGAGATGAAAAGATTAAAACAAAAACGGGGGTTACTGTAAAACTCCTGTGTAACAAACTCCTCTATAACATAAACCCTGTTTAACGAAGAAATCTATAATTTCCAAGAAATTTGTTATACAAATGGTCTATTGAAGTATTACAATGCTTTTAAGTTGCCCAGACCACTACCAGGGCCGGGCAGGGACCTTTGGTCTAAGGAAAGGGGGTTTGAAAAAATCCACAGGGGCTAACCAAGTTGTTTAACATTTTTTTGAAATTTTTTTTTTGAGGGCAGAGAGGTGAGGAACGGTCTGGGATTTGGGACCTCTCGGCAGTGTTTTGCCGGACCCGCCCGGTCCAGTCCGAATCGGTCCAAAAAAAATTGAGACGGACCGGACCGATAGAAAAAATTTACGGTCCGGTCCGAGCCGGTCCGGGAAAAAAATTTAATATTTGATCGTATTAAAAAAAGCGGGCTCGATCGGGCCTAAGGCCCGGCCGGTTTCTCACCTCTAGTAGTCCAGGTCCCCTCTTTCCCTCCCCAGCCTCCTCTCTCAGCTTCAGGCCTTGGACACTACCATCCTTTCATTTTTTACAACTAAATTCTACATAAAAATAAGTACTCGTAGATGATGAAAAATGAGCAAAAAATATTGAAAAACCAAAGGAAACGAAATCAAAGTTAAAACTATGTAAAATATTGACAAAAGTATATAAGATCTTGTAATATGAGTATGTAAGTAGCAAACTAATAAGTTAGATCAGAAAACTTTGGAGGAGTAAATGCTGTACTATTCATTGAGGTGTTCATAGTCGAGTTCATTGAGTCAGGCACAGCGCTTCCGTACTGTAATAAGTGACATTTGTACTTGGCGTTTTCGGTTTGAAGGAAAAACACTTGCTGACAGAGTTGGGCTACTTGCATTTCCAGCTCCTGTAACAATGAGAGTTTTATTATAATTTAAAGACAAATAGTCTAAGAATAATACAAAGTTTAAACCTTTATACTTTAAAAAAAAATTATTGTCCTACCTTGATTCTGGCGTCTTTCTCAGCCTCTCGTTTTTTCCGTTCTTCTCGAGACTTTTGTGCTGACAAGTTATTCTTTTGTCGTCGTTGAACATAAGCCTAAAACATTTTTTTCGAAATGTTTTGAAAAATACTTTTTTCAAAAATAAAATTTTTTTTGCAAATTAAAAAATTTTGTAGTTCTTTAAAAAAAACAAAAAATGTTTTTGTGATAACAAAGTTTTTTAGTTTTAGTATAATATATTGAACTGCGCGCTTAAAACCGACAAGGCTCAGTAAAAATATTGCTCTAATATCGTTGTGTCGAAAAAATATTGTTCCATCTTGAAAATCATCAATGTAGGCCCACTGGCCAGGCGTTTTTCGGGAGTGGAAAAAAATTTTTTGAAAAAAAAGCTGAACGTGATCCCCCTGTGGATTTTTTGGACCCCCGCCCCCAGACCAAAGGTCCCCGCCCGGCCCTGGATGCTACTGGCAAAGAGCTCAAGGGTCGCGTACTAAGTCCTAAGTGCGCTCCTACACATATACACTAAAACGCAATAACAAAAAAGTTTTAGATTTGCTGGTTATAAAAAATTTAAAGTGATTTAAATGCATTGTGTAGTAGGCGAAGGAAAGTTGAACGTTATAGAGCGGTTTTGATATACAAGAGTTCCACTATAAATTGACTACAAGGTTTGTCCGTACTCAAAACAAACTGCAAAGTATAAAAAACTCAAAAATCTTTTCTTCCAAGTTACCAAAAATATGTTTTGTCAAAATTAAACGCAGTCTCTTATGCTAACTTTGTGAAAAAATGGACTTAACATGAGCAATATTATTGTAAAATACGTCTTCTCGTCTCTTGTTTTGTAAAAAGTTAACATATAATTACAACTCTACTAAAGAATATTGTTAACCAACTTACATCATCCTTCTTTTCGGCCGGCACTGGACAAGGTTTCTTCTTCCTCCTAATTGGCGGTGAAATTTCACTTGAGCTGGCGGACATTGATGGTGTATTCACGTACAAGCCTCTGGCATGTGCATTCATTTGACCCAAAAGTTGATATGAATTATACTAAAAGTTCGAAATTATTTTGAATTTTAATGAAAAAGTCATTTTTAAATCAAACCTCATCAGTTTTTCCGGAATTAAAAGTTGACCAATTGACTCCATTCGGATAGTTGGATAGGTTGTTGTTTACATCGGCTGACCACATTTTATAAGGGTTTTTGAACTGAAATTGTAAAAAATTTTTAAATAAAAAATTTTTAAATTAAAATACGATAGGTCATGTCTTGAAATGCCAGCTCGAAAATACAATCCTACTATACCTTATCTTACCCTACCTTACCTTATCTTACCCTATTTTACCTTACTTTACCCTATCTTGTCCTACCTTACCTTACCCAACTTTGCCATATCTTACTTTACCTTACTGTACCTTACCCTACTTTAGCCTATTTTACCTTAACTTACCTTACCTTACCCTACTTTACCCTATCTTACTTTGCCTTACCCTACCTTACCCTACTTTGCTCTACCTTTACCTACCTTACTCCATTGTATTCTACCTCAACCTACCTCACCCTACCTTACTCCGTCGTATTCTACCTTACGCTACCTTATCATACCCTAAAATATTCTACCGTACTCTATCGTATTATGACTTACTTAACTCTACTAGACTATATCCTATTTCACCTTCTCCTTTTTTACAGTATGCTACTCGCCTTTACCTTACCATGTTGTACCCTACCGTGTCTTACCGTATTAATCTTTACTCTAATCTATGTTACCATACTCTACGCTACCTTATCCTTTCTTATTCAACCTTTTTAGTATTACTTTTTACTACTTCTACTATGTATATACAATTACATTTAAATTTAAAAAAACAAAATTTAATGCAACGCCGTTAAAAAAACTGTAACCCATAACATCAAGTAAATCGTAGCTTTCAGCTACACAACACCTTGCACAACTTTTAATTCCTTGTTCAAACGCAGATTAGAGCTACACTAGCCTAGCCCAAAGCCAAGGAAGTCCACCCACTTGTATTACAGTAGATTACGCAAAACAAAGAAAACCCATTAGCGCCAAAACTTTTGCACTGTGATGATAGGCGCGTTCTGTTTGGCCGTGGTAATCGATGGACCGCCTTCTTTCCTCTACCGCCGGTTTGAGGTTAACATGCCATATGGTAGCTGTTTTTTTTGTAAAATACGAGAAGTTTTGAGTAACTAGAGCAAATTTAATAATGTAACTGAAGTTTGTTTTGTTTGATCATTTCCATTTCTTACCTAGCTTAAAAAGTTTATCCATCGGGCTCAAACCGAGCTCAAGATAAGGCCCCAGGAACTCACTTTAAATCTCACTACGAAAGATTTGAAAACTAGCCTATTATTTTAAATCAAACTAGGTCCGTTTCTTTTTAGACAAGCATCTAAAAAACTTTAAATTGACCCCACTAAACCACATTGTTTAAAATTTAACCCCACTCAACGTAGATATTCATTATGCGGCGGATTCTGTTTGTTACGTCGTTTGGATTACGTAAAGTTGGACCTTCTTCCGTCTGTTCACAGGATGCCATCACGATCCAATCTCTTTCATCGACCGCAACAAAGGAAGTTGCCACTTATGGCTTTACAAGGAAACTTGAAATGACATTTTTTGTCATTGTAGTCTGATTTTGTCAATTTTTTAAAAATTTGAAAAAGGCTTGGGTAGAAATAGATAGGTAAACGCACAGAAAGGCAACAGTGTGGGCTAGACTAAGGCAAAGACGAAGGCAAAAGGTAAGACTATGGCTATGGCTATGGCTATGGCTATGGCTATGGCTATGGCTATGGCTATGGCTATGGCTATGGCTATGGCTATGGCTATGGCTATGGCTATGGCTATGGCTATGGCTATGGCTATGGCTATGGCTATGGCTATGGCTATGGCTATGGCTATGGCTATGGCTATGGCTATGGCTATGGCTATGGCTATGGCTATGGCTATGGCTATGGCTATGGCTATGGCTATGGCTATGGCTATGGCTATGGCTATGGCTATGGCTATGGCTATGGCTATGGCTATTCCTCCACTAGACCCTCCTCCCTGCCCAAAATTGAAAATTAAAACCGCATCCACCTGTCGTTTAGCCAAAAACAAGTCAACTAATACGTCTTTCCGCTACCGGATTTCTTTCATTTTGAGTAGCGGTATGCTTTGTTACATCATCGTCGATGACCTCAACTCGGCGATATTTGCCACGGTTTTTGGTCGGGTCAAAGGTGAGGACAGTGGAATTATGCGGCTTTGCGACAGCGATTACGAATTATCATAAAAAAGACGTTTACAATCTTATACGATCTGCTAAAGCGTAGCGATTTACGAGTTTATATAGTGATGGGAAGAAGGTGGTAAGAACAGAAGCTAGGAGAACTTATAGTATGTTAAGTGCTAGAGTTAAACCTAAAGGTGATTTAATTCATGACTAAGATTGGGCTAATGTAAGATTGCGATTTGTATAAAGCTAGTGTAAGACTGCAGTAGGGCTAGACTAAGGTGAAAGTAAAGCTACAGTTAGACTATGTTAGAGTTAGACTAAGGTTAGAGTAAGGCTAAAGTAGGAGTAGGCTAAAGTTAGAGTAAGGCTAGAGTAGGGCTAGGCTAGGGTTAAAGTAAGGCTAGAGTAAGGCTAGGCTAAAAGAAAAATAAGACTGGTGTAGGGCTAGGGTAAACTTTGAGGCCGGCTGGAGTAGAGCTGAGCTAGGATTAGAAAAAGGCTAGAGTTAAACTACACTAAGACTAACTTAAGGTTATATTAGGGTATGGGGCTGGGCTAGAAGAATAGCAATGCGGTACCTAATCGTAAGGACAGCTAATTTTTGAAAAATTTAAAATTCAAGTTAGTCACTAGTAACAAAATGTTTTTTTACTATCTCTCGAACAAAAATTATCTTCTCGGGACTTACTGTAGCATTCAAAATTGAAACAAAAATTTTAATGCATGTCATTAAGTCATTATCAGTGCAAAAATCATATCAATACAAAAAAAAATTTTAAATTTTTTATTGCTATAGACCATAAAAAGCAAAAAACCTTCTTTCAAAAAATAAAAAAAAATTTTTTTGCTGCTTTTTAATATCCAAATTCAATGTTACCTAACTTAAAAATCATTCAAAATACCTCTGCCCAAGACGGGCTGTACACGGGTGTCCTAAAGCCGGGAGTCAACCGTTCCGGCTCAAAACATTGGGTCCGTCCCCGTTACTAATCTACAACCCCCTTCATAACCCCATCCTCATTAACCCAGCCCCAAAGATCAAGCCCCACGGCCGAAGATGGGAATAATTTTCGCGCTCTCTTATTAGCGAGTACTGTCCTCAAAACAGTCCAGAAAGGGCATTGCCGCCTAACCCACTTATTACGCAAGCCGGTCCTTAAAAGCGCCGGGGACAGATATGAATCCGGTTCCCGCTGTGAAGCCGGTACAAAAGTCGCGCACCTACAAAAACTCAAAACAAAAAGATGCGCTTCGAGTACGGTTTTAAAACGACCAAGTGTAAACATTGCCAGCTGGGTGTATTGTGGAATGACAATAAGGTTAGGATAGTTACACTCAATTCCGGTTTTTATTTTATACCTAAACACTTAAAACTGAAATTACTGAACTAGATGCCTATAATAACATTAAATCTCTCACACACTCAAAAACTATCGAACATACTTATAAAAGCTTGCCATACTTGAAAAAATATGATTTTCTTAAGCCAAGTAAATCAATTCTAACCACTTTAAATTCAAAATTAAAAATGAGTATCAACATGCTTACCTGATGAGTTTCACATCCTCCTCCATAACAAAGCTGCGTATTCTGTAGATAGCAATTGCCCCGTAATGTATTATACAAAACGTACTGAACAATACTGTTGTTCAAGCCGTTTTCATACTGTAACTACCTACAACTTACTGAACAGTACTCACGGATGTTCAAGCCGTTTTCATATTGTCACTATTTTCAACGTACTGAATAGTACTAACGGTTTCTCAAGCCGTTTATATACTGTCACTACCTTTAGCGTAAAGAATAGTATTCACGGTTTGCCAAGCCGCAGATTATATAAAACGTACTAAATAGTACTAAAGGTTGCCCAAGTCGTATATAAAACCAAAAATGTCAATTTGAGAGTATTTCTTACATATACTTTGACCTTCGTTCTGTATTCTTACTGTCACTGCCTTTAACGTACTAACTAGTACTTACGGTTGCCCAAACCGTTTTTATACTGTCATTGCCTTCAACGTACTCAATAGTACTTACGGTTTCCCAAGCTCTATATAATACTGTAACAACAATTAATGTACTAAATAGTACTCACGGTTGTCCGAGCCGAATATCGTATAAAACGTACTAAATAGTACTCTCGGTTTCTTAAGCTGTGCATCAAACTGTCACTACCTTTAACGTACTTAATAGTACTCACGGTTGCCCAAGCCGTGTATAAAATGTCATTTTGAGAGTATTTCTGACATATACTTTGACCTTCGTTCTGTACTCGTACTGTTATTACATTTAACGTACTATAGTACTCACGGTTGCGCAAGCCGAGTATCATACTGTCACTACCTTCAACGTAGTAAATAGCCCTCACGGTTGCTCAAGCCGTTTATAAAATGTCATTTTGAGTGTGTTTCTGACATTTAATATTACTTTCGTTCTGTATTTGTACTGTCACCACCTTTAACGTACTTAATAGTACTCACGGTTGCCCAAGCCGTGTATCTCACCTCCAAAATAAAAAACTGCCGTTCAGCAAGCTCTCAAAATATCAAATGGCATCCTTTGCGTCCTTATCATTGCACAATTTCAGCACAAAAAATTCAAAAAATTTGTTTTTGAGTTGCGCAACCCTACATAAGATGTCCAACAATAAAAATATATTATAGGTCTCAACTGCGGAATCCCAATTTTACGCATTTAGTGAAAGAAGAAGACGCGAATATCGAAATATACTAGATTTGGCGTCGAACTCGATTGTTTTATCGAAACGCAATGCGTGCATACCGTAATAGTTGTGCAGTTACGAGTTCGAGGCATGCCTCGCTATTATAAACGCTTGTTTGTCGGTGCAGCTACGACGTTTGTTCGTGCTTTTATAGGGTTTTGTAAAAGGGAATTGTGCAGATCCCTAGTTGAGCATGCCGTTTATACGGCGGAGTATGCGCTGTTACGATGGTTTTGCATTTAGTACTGTGGGAGTGCTATGATACGGTCTGGTCAACCGTACAAGTACTGTGGGAGTGCTCTGTAAGCATAGTCTTACTATTGTACTGTGGGAGTATTAGAGTACTGTGTTTTTGTATCGTACTGTGAGAGTACTATTATACGGATTGGTCACCCGTTTGAGTACTGTGGGAGTGCTCCGTAAGCATAGTCTTACTCTCGTACTGCAAGAGTATTGTATATAGTACAGCTTGGGCAATCGTTTGAGTATTGTGAGAGTACTATCTTTTTGTATCGTACTTTGAGTACTATTATACGAATGGGTCACCCGTTGTAGTACTGTGGGAGTGCTATATAAGTATGCTTTTACTTCTTAACGTGCCGTGAGAGTACTATATATGATCCGGCTTTGGCAACCGTTTGTGTACTGTGAGAGTACTGTGTTTTACTACCGTACTGTGAAGGTACCATATGTGATACGGCTTGGGCAACCGTTTATGTATTGTGAGAGTACTTTTGTATCGTACTGTGAAAGTACTGTGTCATTATACGGCTTATGCAACCGTATGAGTTCTGTGGGAGTGCTCTGTAAGTCAGCGTATGCTTGCTATCGTACTGTGAGAGTACTATGTATGAATACAAATTGATGCTTCGTTATCATACTATTACTATACTGTAGCAAATATGTTTAGTACTATTTACAGTACAAATTGTAACTATGACAGAGTTTAGTTCTATATAGTACTCACGTTTCCGGTTCCGGAGTTAACGTTTATGCCTGTACGTTTTATCGTACTTGCAGCCTTTACCCCAGATTTGACTTTGCAAGTTGGTTTAATTACTGGCTTGTTGTTGAATCCATACGATTTTTTCATATGGTTGATTGTCGGGGTGTACACGATCGTTGAGATATACGATTTTTTTATCATAATATGAATTTTTTCTTTTACATAGTTTTTGAACTTATGTACGAGCGAATTATTCAATTCTATAATATGTATATATGTTTACATTTACAGAGAGTACATATAAATCTTTGCTTTTACATAGTTTTTTAACTTATGTACGAGCGAATTATTCAATTCTATGTTATACATTGTTGAAATTATAAAATTTGCAATATTTATCATGTTAAACTAATGTACGGACGAATTGAAAAGTATTATTGTATATTGTTAAAGATATTGTATACATAATTTGTTATTTTTTTAATTTGAACTAATGTACGAACGAATTTAAAAATAATATACAAATTTGTCTTTAATTGTGGCAATTTTTGTTTAAATTTCAGTTTTACTTTTTTCGTTTTTCTAACTTATGTACGAGCGAATACTACTTAGTCTGTATATAACACTGTCTAAGCCATATATCGCCTACTGAATAGTACTGAAGGGTGTACAAGCAGTTTTCATACTGTACCTACTCTTAATGTACTAAGTAGTACTCACGGTTTCTCAAGCCGTATATTATTTACATAACACGTACTAAATAGTACTAACGGTTTTTTTATATTTGTATAGTAACGGTAGTTTAAGCCGCACAACATTTAAATCTTATTAAATAGTACTTGCGGTTGCCTAAGACGTTTACATACTGTCACTGCCTTTAACTTACTAAGCATTAATAACGGTTGCTTAAGCTGTACATCATATATAACGTACTAAACGGTACTACTAGCTTTTCAAGTAGTAAATCACATACTAGGCAGAGTGATCCACTCCCTCACTCTCAATAATTTTTTTTCTGCCCAACCCTTCCCAATTTCAAAAAAAATTTCATAAAGTCGTGTTATTAATGACACGAAACCGATACGTTATATTTGTTTTAGCGGCCCTTGACATTTCATTGATTTTAATAGCCATCGGTCATTTTTAGGCCAACATTAAAAAACGTGAAATGAATATCATCATAATGTCTTTGTGTGTCTTAATTAAACAGCTCTTTTTCGGTCGGCTATGGGAGCTGGTTCGACGTCGAATTTTTAAAAAACTTTTAAAGGAAAGGGTAAAACAAAACTTTATTAAAAATTTTAAATTTTGGAATCAGAAGAACCTTTTTGCAATTTTTAATTTTTGAGTACGTGGGACTGTTTAACAAATTTTTAAATTTTGAGGAAT